CATCAACACCGAGTACCTCATTCCCCACATGCTGATTGAGTCAGAACACACGTTCTGACTGGCAGGTGCAGGCGTGGGGGTGTCATGCTCTCGGCAACAGGACCCTGAGGGTGTTGACACATGTTGCACCATCCTGCTCTGACCTCCAGGTGAACCGAGCTGTCCACCCAAAGCCCTTGAGCCTCAGGACGTCAGCAGTGGGCCAAGTAGCTCAGAGCAGGTGCCCCTCGGGAGCCCGTGGTGGTGACAGGTCAGGACTTAGACAGATCCCTCCCGTATCGCAGCAGCCAGTTAATGAATTCCGGTTTTGTGGACAGGGAGCGTCACAGACCTCCGTCCCACCTCAGTCTCTAGTGCTTAGTGTGCAGATTTCACATCCTCAGGATGGAAGGCAGGGCCACCCCATGGGGGCCAGGGGGAGCACATTTCCCCTGCAGCAGCCTGGGCCAGCCAGGCAGGAGGGGTATGGCCTGGTTGTGCTTTCCCAGCTGTCCAGGCCTGTGAGCTCTTCATCTTGGGCCCAACCTATTGGTTAGTGTTGGTTAGTGGGCAGAGAGCTGTCAGAGACAGGAAGGGTTGCCTTGGTCAGGGCTGGCTTGTCACAGGCTTCATCGCTCGGGACAGAACTGCAACGAGCCAGGAGTCTGTCCTCCTGCCAGTGCCTGGTTGTGGTGCCCTTCCCAGGGGTGGCACTGAGTCATGTCCGGTGGAGCAGGGGCAAGATGCCCACAGTCGGGCACCAGGGCAGAGAACAGGCTGCTTCCCTTCAGCAAGTGGGGTGGGCTGGCCGATGCGGGGGAACGTGGAGTGGGGGGCGTGGGGAACACGAGTGTGTGGCAGGTGGGTGGGGCCCCTGAGCTCCTAGAGGACACAGCTAAACTAGGTTGTCATAGATGTTTGGAAGCCAGCGGAATGGGGACGAACAGACCGTGAGTAACAGGAAAGGGACAGGGCTTCATCGAGAGGGGGCTGGGTGGAGCCTAGATACAAGTCCCTTATCAGATACATGATTTACAAATATTTTCTCCCGTTTTGTAGCTTTTCTTTTCACTTGTATTATTGTGCTCTGAAGTACACAAGTTGCACATTTTGTTATCTATTTTTCCTTTTGTTGTGCTTTTAGTGTCACGTGTAAGAACCATTGCTTAACCCAAGGTCTTGTGGTCTCAGCACCATTTGTTGGGAGACTGCGTTTTCCTCTCTGAGTGGCGTGGCACCCTTGTCCACAGTCAGCTGGTCTTGAACAGGAGGGTGACATCGAGGTCTGTGTCCTCCGCCCCCTCCCAGTTGAGTGGCTGCGGGCAGGTCTTTCCCGCTGTCTCATTTACTCAGTGGGCACAGCATTGCTTCTCAGCGGGTCTGTTGTGTCACGTGAGGTCATAAAAGTGCGATCACACTGAAAATTAACCTCAAGATCCTGTATGATCATCAGTCCTGGTCCCTCTGTGGCCTCACACACGGCCTTCCCGCCTGGGCTCTGGGTCCCCACCTGGACACTGTGGGGTGTTAGGGGCCTTGAAGCCTATGAGTCACAATTCCCTGAGAGGGTGGGAGGCAGGCTGGGTCTGTGTCTGTGCGTCCTCCCCAAACCGAGTCAGGCCTGCTGGCTCCAGGCCCTTTCTTGTTTTGATCGGTTCTTATTTTAGAACAACCACTGGCGTGGAATCTTCCCAGAGCCCAGGGGGTAAACACAGGGACTCCAGGACCTACGCACCAGCTCTTGTTTAAATTAAGAGGAAAGCATGTTCTCTTCCCCTCGTGTGAGCTTGGCGCCTTTCATGGCTGCCGCCCTGAGAAAGGCAGTCGGTAGCCCTCGAGGTGAGGAATGATGTTTGGGTCTGTGGCTGGTGGTTCCTGGATTGTCCAACCACCAGCTCAGGCTGGAGCACGGCTGTCAGGAGTGATTAGGAGATTGGCCCCAGGGTCCCAAGGCGTGGGGGCTGGCGCTGCTGTCACTGGCCTCAGAGTCACCAGCAGGAGCTCAGGCTTCTGGGCCTGATTTAAGAGGTGAGCCCCGCCCTAGCTGGTTTGGCTCAGTGGATAGAGCCAAAAGGTCCCAGTTTCGATTCCGGTCAAGGGCACATGCCCGGGTTGCGGGCTCGGTCCCTGGTGGGAGGCGTGCAGGAGGCAGCCAGTCAATGATTCTCTCTCATCATTGATGTTTCTATCTCTCTTTCCCCCTTCCTCTCTCAAATCAATAAAAATATATTAAAAAAAAAAAAAAAAGAGGTCAGCCCCACTTCTGCAGGGGAGCCAGGGCCAGCTCTGGGCTGTGGTGCCAGCCTCAGCCGGCACCCTGCGCTGTCATGTGTGCGCCTGGTGTCGGAGACCCCAGGCAGGAGAGCAGCACAGGGAGGTCGAGGCAGACCCTTGCGGCCCCACCGTGAGGCCGGGGGCTCTGCAGTCAGGCCTGGTGGACGCTCCTCTCTAGCCAGCCACTCACATGACCTTGGGCACAGGCTTCGGGGAGCTGTGTAAGAAGGCCCCCGGCCCCTAGGAAGCTCCCTCAGGGGACGCATGCTGGCTGCTTTAATAAGCGTAACCCTCTGAAAATCCCTCCGATGTCTTTCCTACTTTCCAGATGGTGTCAAAACCAAGGCTGCCCCCTCGGGCCTATCGTGTTTTACCCCATCCCCACCCGCAGGCACCTCCCTGGGCCTTGCCTGCCCTCACTCCTCCCGGAGCTGCTGGTGCTCTGCAGGGCTCCAGGCTTTGATGAGCAGGCTCCTGGCAGGCTGGGGCAGAGCAGGGCAGGCCGTCGCCGGGGCTGAGCCTCAGGGGAAAGGTGCAGCCGCCCGGCTGGAGGAGAGAGGGGCCTGGGGAGGCCCGAGTGGTGACAGGGAAGGGGCGGGAGAGGATTGCAGTTGGGCCACACTCTGAAGCTTGTCTGCCCCGAACGTAGGAGACACAGCCCCTCCTGGCAGTTGTGGCCTCCATGCCTCTTCAGGCTCCTGTCCCAGGGGTGGGCAAACTTTTTGACTCGAGGGCCACATTGGGTTCTTAAACTGGACCGGAGGGCGGAACAAAAGCATGGATGGAGTGTTTGTGTGAACTAATATAAATTCAAAGTAAACATCATTACATAAAAGGGTACGGTCTTTTTTTTCAATAGTTTTATTCATTTCAAACCCGGCCGCAGGCCGTAGTTTGCCCACGGCTATCCTGTCCCCACACCCTCCCTCCCCTGGTGCTCCTGCCCCTCCCCGCCTCCCCTCCTCCCCCCACTCTGTGCCTTCATAGCCTTCGCTGAGGCTGAACTCCCCCCCCTCCCCCCACTGTGTCTACTTGGAAAAGGATGCACAGGTGGCCCTTGGGGTGAGGGACCCCAGGGTAAAGTGGACGGGGATGAGGGTTTGGGGCCTCGCTCTCTACCTTCAGCAGATAGCCCAGCTTCTCTGGAGCTGACTTCACCCGTGAAGCGGGCTGAGAGGCAAGTGTGTGGGACATTCAGGAGCAGGCTGGCCCAGCCGACCCTCAGTGAGGGGTGTCCAGGACTCTGGGGTAGCCCCTGCTTTTTCTCTCCTTTCACCCTCCATCTGTCCTCCCGATTGGTGGGTCCTGGCCCTGGACACTGAGCAGTGCCAACAGCCCTCCCTCCCCCCAGCCCAGTGATAGCAGCTGGCCTGGCCTCACTGTTCTCTAAGGGAACCTCCTCCACAGCGAACGCCCCTCCTCAGTCTCACAGATCCAGAGACACTAAGGCGGCAGCCAAGAGCCTGCTGCTTTGAAGAGAAGTCCAGGGTCATGGGGGCAGCACGCTGTGGTCACGGGGGGGGGGGGGGGGGCGGGCTCCTGGCGTCTCTGCCTTGAGGTGCCCCTCTCAGGAGTGAGCATGGGAATGGGCCCGGGGCGGGATGGGGGGGGGAGGGGGGAGGCAGGAAAGGCCCAGCCTTACCACCGTGCCGGGGCCCCAGCGTTCATCTGTTGGTGGGCAAGAGGTAGACAGTTGTTTTGGGGGCCTTTCCAGCTGCTGTTCTGTGAACTAGCACTTTTCTCTCCCCTCCCCATCCCAGTGAGAACCCCCTGCCCACGGTGGAGATTGCTATCCGGAACACAGGGGATGCTGACCAGTGGTGCCCACTGCTGGAGACCCTGACGGATGCCGAGATGGAAAAGAAGATCCGTGACCAGGACAGGAACACAAGGTACTCTCCCCTGCCCCCCAGAACCCCTGCAGCTGGCTCTGCCCACAGGCACCGTCTTCCAGGCAGGTACAGAACCATCACTCCCCCTTGTGACCCAGTTTCTTTCTGGGAGGGCGCCTGTGCGCCCCTAGAGTACAGGTTTCAAACCCTGCACGGAGCAAAAGCAAGCCCTGAGATTGGGTCTGACCACAGCCCAGACCCAGGTTTCAGAACCCCTGAGGAGGTGGGCAGGGCCTGAGCAGGCAGGTGAGAGGACAGTTTCAGGGCCCAAGCAGCACATGGTCAAGGCCACGGGAGGCGAGGGACTGGGAATTCCACCCGCCATGTCCTGCCTGTTTCTACTCCCCAGCTGCCCTAGAGAGCCCGGGAGTGGGGGGCGGGGGCAGTGGCCCAAGGCTGGGAGCTGGCCCTGGGTCACCACCCTTTCCGCCCCTGCAGGCGGATGAGGCGTCTCGCCAACACTGCCCCAGCCTGGTAACCAGCCCGTCAGCGCTCGGCTCCCACACAGCGTTCAGAAGACCAACCTGCCTCTCCATCTTCTGGCAAAGAGGGAGGCGAGGGGGCAGCCCAGGGCCTCCTGAGGGGCACGGGCAGGCGGGAGGCCTTCCAGGTCGCCCCCCCCCCCCCAGCACGGTTTCCATTTGCTGAGCCCTAGTCCCCACCCCCCATCCCTGATCAGGAAGAGGCTTCATTTTGGGTTGTTTTGTTTTTGCATAGGAGCCCCAGGAAGGGCTAGCAACACTTTTTAAATAAAAGGCAACAGGTCGTGTTCCATTTCTTCCAAGTGGCTGCATAAAAATAAGAATGGAGAACAGGGAGCGGGGCCTGTGGGGGGGGGGTGGCCAAAGCTGGCATGCCGGGCTCACCCCGCTCCACCTCCGATCCCCAGGTGGCTGTTGATGGGGCTCCATGGCTCCACTCTCAGCTACCCCAGCCCCTGCAGGACCAAGGCAGAGTATAATCCTTGCTTTTCCTTGGGCCCTCCAGCTTCCCCACCTCCACCCGTGCTTGGATCTCTGTAGAGCAGGAGAAATGAAAGGTGTGGTCATGAGGCTCAGTGGGCAGGGGGCCCGCTTGTCCGTTGGTTGCAGCCCCTCCCCCACACCCTTCGCTCTGCTGGTCAAGGTGACCGGGCCATCCCAGCCAGGACATTGCTTCTCTGGAGTCCCTTGCAGAGGCCCCATCCTCTGTGGACACTGCAAGGCCATCCCCAGCCTGGGTGCCTGTGCCCAGCTACTCCAGCTCCAGCAGGTGTGCAGCATTTAGCCACACCTCCCAGCAGTGTGCATATAACAGGTGGCCGGGGACCCATCCCCACCCCGGGCCGGCACCTGGCCCAGGCCAGCTCCTCCCTCCCAGGCTGGCTGTGAGGATGATAGCATGTGGAGCAGCACACCTGGCTGGTGGTGGCTTGTGGGGTGGGGTTATGGGGAGAGGAGGCACGCCCTGGGCCTCTGCCCAGCTCTACCTTCAATGAGTTTGTCATCACCTCTGCACCCTCACCTCGCCTGTTAATGTGGGGATGTTCCCACCCTACAGAAGGGGCGTGCGGCACGTGTGGGTCTCGCTAAGTCAAGCACTGCTTGGTGAACGGGGCACACAGCCGCACTTACTGAAGACAGTGGGCCAGACCCCCGGCCCTGGGCTGGTGCCACCTTTAGTTGCTGGCACATCCTTCCCCGGCCAGGGCTGGGCTGAAGGTCAGGACTGCTCTGCTCCCCAGGAGTGTGACAGAGGCCCCGTGGCACTTGGTTCCTAGCCTAAGTAGGAATTGGGCTCTGGGTTGCCAGGATGTAGGGTAAGGTGGGCCTTGCTGTCTGGGCCAGGGTTCCTGTGAGCATGTCCCAGGACGTGACAGCTCCCAGGGGGTTGTCCACAAGCTCCTGCCCTTCCTCCAGGAGTGGAACTTGCTGGGCTTCACTGGAAGGCTTTGACCAAGAGGAATCTAGGCCCAGTTGTTTTAGAAACTAGTGGGCCCCATTAACAAGGTGTCTGCTCGGTCTGTGGGCAAACAGCCCTGGGGCTCCACAACTGGTGGACGGAACAAACCCTGCCTGCCTCAGTCCCACTGGGTAGGAGCCCACCTGCCTGGGAGAGGCCTGGGAAGGGCCCGCGCACCAGCCCCAGTCTGAGCCCACACGGCTGCAGGTCCATGAGGGTTCTGCTCCATGAGGGTTCCCTACAAAATCAAGGTCTACTCTGTGGCGAATATTTCTGTCTTCCATGAACATGACCAGCCCTGTGCTTCTGAACATCCTGGAATAAACCGTATTGCAGGCTGGTCTAGAGCAACAAAGAAAGCTGGCCAGGCCATCTGGTGCCCACTTTACAGAAGAGAAAAGTGAGCTGTGGGTTGGATAAGGCTCCTGGGGTCCTCAGCTACAAAGGCAGGGACAGGACACCCAGAGTCCTCAGCCTCAGCCAGTGCTAAGGTGGAAACTTCTCCAGGCTCTGGCGTCACAGGAAGCAGAGCCCAGCCTGGCTCCTCTGCACCTGACCTCCCTCACGGAGCCGTGGCTGCATCTGTCAGTCACTTGTCTGTTAGTCGCTCAGCTAAGAAACGGGGCAAAGGTCCACTTGTTGTTCATGAGGGCACCACAGGCAGGAGTCCCCACCCCCCCAAACCAGGCTTGGCACAACCAGATAGCCCAGTACTGGTCCCTGCCACCAAGATCTGGCCAACCCCTCTGGCTGGCAGAGAACAGAGGCCCACCACAGGTGGCGTTTGTCCAAGTCTCCACTGAGGCACTGGAGAGGCTTGAAAATCCCGTGTCTACCATCTGTGAGCTCAGAGCTCTGCTGGGCAGCTGTGGGCAGGTTTTTGACCCTCTGAGCCTCCCATCCTACCACCTACAGTTGGTCTGAGAGAGCAGTCCTGGGCAAAGGGTGGGCAGGGAAGTCCAGGCTTCGTGGCCCCAAGTCAGGGCCAGCAGCATCTGCCCAGCACGGAAGGGTGTGGCCAGGGAGGCAAGGGGAGCCGGTGCTGTGGTCAAAGAGGCTGCAGTTATTCTGTTTATTCGGATGGCCAGCCTCCAGGACAGGTTGCTCTGCTGCAAGCAGGAGTTAGGGTGGGATGCAGGCTTGACAGATGTTGGAGAAACAGGCTCCTGGGGCTGGCCTGCCCTGGGTGGGGTCACTGCTGCAGGGGTCCTGGCTGTTCCTCGGGGAGGGGCAGGTAATTGGGGTCCTCTTCTGGGGCATCCAGTAGCAGCTTCCTGTGGGGAGCGGCCCAGGTTGAGCTGAGGCCAACGTGGGTCCACGGGGAGTTAAGAGCTGTCTGAGGGAGGGTAGCCGCAGGGCTGTCACCTCCAGTACTCACAGGAAGCCGGGGGTCAGCAGCAGCCTCTTGCCTCCAGGCTGGTTGGGAAAGACATCTTCCAGGAAGTAGTAGATGTGACCCACAGCAATCCCTGTGGGAGAGCGGAGGACTGCCAAGGCCACTGCCTCCATGGTCCAGAGCCCAGGGCCAGCACAGCCTTGTTCTGGGGCTTCCATGTGCAGCTCTGGAGGCCAAGTCAGGCCCAGAGAAACCTCAGGCCTCAGAGCATGAGTGCCCAATGTCCTGCACAGACCGCCAGCCCAGGATGGGGCTGGGGTTGGCCCTGAAGGACAGTGTTCCAGGACCCAGGAACTGAGAACAGCCGAGTGGGCGCCATGGCGGGACGCTGGCCTACCCATCCCACCCCAATCAGGACTCACACAAGCATCAGCAGATGAGGCCTGAAGATGTGAAACCTGTAGGCCTGCTGGCTTGTTCAAGGGGCTATAAGAATAGAGATGCTGGAGGTAGGGGGACAGATGAGAGGTCTGGGGGGGGAGGGGAGTGGGGGGGGGTCTGGCAGAACAGCCAGCTTTGATGGGCTGGATGGACAGGCAGGCTCACCCAGCAGGTCCACGAGGATCGAGTTGCCCAGTAGCATTGAGAAGCCCATGAGTGCCCAGGGCAGGAATGGCGCCTGGAAGGTGAGGAGGCCGAAGAAGTTGACCCTCACTTGAGGGCTGCGGCGGCTCCATACGTACACCAGCATGGCTGTGAGGGCCTGGCCCAGGAAGAACAGGCTGCCCAGGAGCCCCAGCAGCTGGGCCAGAGTCAAGGTGCTAGGAGGCCCTCCCCCCGGTGCAGGCCTCAGCCCTGCCCAGGGCTCCTCTGATTTGCTAGATCCCCGAAATCCTACTGGTTTCCCCTTCCCAATCTAAGGCCACCTGTGGCCTTCAGGCCCCACGTGATCTGGCCCTGCCTCTCCACCTCACCCCGGCCTCCCAACACCGCCCATCCTCGCCGGTTTCTCCTGCTGCTGGCATTCAGGGCTCAGCCCCAAGCCCCCCACTGGCTGTCCTGCACATCATCCTGTGGCGTGGGGTTTTTTGTTGTTTTGTTGTACAAACCTGAAGGTCTAGCTTTGGCACCTGGGTCTGAGCACACCATGCACGCTCATCCTAAGCCAGAGTAAACCTCCGTCCCTCCCGTCCCTCCCGGCCTGGGCACGACCTCGCGCCCCAGGACCAACACTGGCTGGGCGCAGAGTGCCTGGCCTGAGGCCCGGACCCCGGGAAGGATACGATCATAAGGACGCCCCCAAAGAGAAACATGAAGACGAAGTCAGCCGTGCGGCCGCGGAAGGAGCCCTCCTCCAACATGCGGCAGTAGCGGAACCTGCGGCGTCCGTATAGGAAGTGCCACCGGGCAGGGTCTCAGGTCCCCGCGCCCTCCCGGCCGCCTCAGCCCGCAGGCCCGCCCACTCCCCTCCTGGGTCCGGCAGGTACAGGATACACGAAGAGCATGTTGAAGAAGAAGCTGAATCCCAGGGGCCCGAAGAAGAGGAAGTTGGTGAGGAGCCTCCAGACCTGCGAGGGGCAGGCGGTCAGGCGCGGGGCGGACAGGGCTGGGCCAACAGGGAGCAAGGGCGGGGCGGCCTCACCTGGAACTTCCGGAACACGAGGTGCGGGTTGAAGTAGAGCTGGAAGGGGCTCAGGAGCTCCAGCTGCTGCGGAGCCAGGGGAGCGTCAGGTGCGGCCCGCGGGATCCAGCCCTAACCACCGCGCACCCCTCCCGGCGTGTAACCATGGCGACGCCCGCCCGCCTAGGAGGCTCACCACGGCCGCGGTGGTCAGGACGCAGGCCGCGGTGTAAGCTCGCGTCACCGCCGGCACCTGCAGGAACTCGGCCGCCAGCCCCCGCCACGCCATTGAACCTCCTCAGGTACACGTGGCCCCCACTACGGCGCGCTCTTTAACCCGCCTCCAAGCCCCGCCTCCCCGCCTTCGACCAATCCGCGTGGGAGACGCTTTGTGCCCAGGCCGTTGGGGTGGGGCCTGAGGCTAGATAACCAGTAGGAGGAGGAAGCGGGAAGCTGGGGGCGGGACGGGAACGGGGCGGGTGGAGACTTTGGGCCAATGAGCAGGCCCCACAGTCGAGCACGTGGCCGTTGTTGTGATGGTTGCAGCGCGCGCGGGAGAATGTGCCGCCAATGAGGAGCTGGTGGCTTCTCAGCAAGCGGCGGGGAAGACCAATAGCGAAGGCCCACGGGGCACTCTAGGGCGGGGCTAAGGTTACTTGTTAGTGGAGACCAGATGGGATCCAGGCACCGCCGCACTGGAAGGGGCGGGATATGGAGTGTGGGCGGGGCGGGCGGGAACCCAGAGGCCGGCCGTGCGCTCTGGGGCCCACATTGGCCTGGCCCGCGGTCCGACAGCCAGAGATGGTGCCACTTCACCCACAGCAAGGCAGGCGCCGGCAGCATGCCCACATTTCTCCGCGCGTCCAGGGCCTCGCTAGAACACGCCAGCCCCTGTGGGAAGTCTTCCTGGGGGCCCGCGGGAGGAGGGGCCAAGTTGGGGACTTGCAGACCCCATGGGACCCGGGGATGCCAAGATGGGCTGGAGCAAATGGACAGGCTGGAGAAGGCCTCATTATTTTGGTGGGAAAGAGAACTCCATTTTTCATTCTGATGAAGGAAGTCAACTCTTTGGCCAGCCGTGGCTCCGTGGTTGAGCGTGGACCTGTGAACCAGGAGGTCACGGTTAGATTCCTGAACAGGCCATATGCCCTGGTCGTGGGCTCGATCCCCAGTGGGCAGCTGATCAATGATTCTCATCATTAATGTTTCTATCTCTCTCCCTTTCCCTTCCTCTCTAAAACCAATAAAAATACATTTTTAAACTTTTTTTTTTTTTTAAAGAAAGTCAACTGTTTATTGAGCACCAAATGGGGTCCACCAGCAGGTAAATGGAGATCTGTTCTGGCCTCACTGCGTTTGTGTGACATCCACCTGGAAAAATCCAAGTGTGGTGTTGGGGAGGAGGTCAGGCAAGGGGTCTGCACGTGGGAATGATTCATCAGGAAATCAACGGCATTTGTAGCCCTGGGCCTGTGTGGAATGTCCAAGGGGCACGGCTAGACCGAGAGGAGAGGCCAGGCTGGGCAGAGAGAGAGGCAGACCCAGCTGGGAGGCTGGGAGTGTCGGGTGGGCAAGAACCCAGCCAGGAAAGGGCTTCGGAAGCAAAGCAGTGCGAAGGCCCCGAGCCTGGGGAGGGCCTATGGGACGCAGCCGTGCCAAGCTTCCTAGTGGCCAGGATACTCGCAGGCCGGAGGGAAGGAAGGTGGACAGACCAATGTGCCTTCATCACCGTGGGGACCCCAGCCTTAGATGTACGTGTGGAAGGCGAGGGATGCTCTGGACGGGACCCGAGGTCCCCGAGGAAAGTAGATTGGGGAGTACCAGCCGAGAAGGTTCTCTCAGGTGGATCCCAAGCGGAGGGACCCACGAGGGAACTAAGAGGTCCCCTGGAGCGCGGCTCAAGGAGCCCCCCACTCTGGAGGAGACGCTGGGAGCACTGGAGGGAGATGTTCATTTGGTTCAGGAGGGAAGAGAGAACTGGCTGAGACAGCAGGAATGGGACCAAGGAAGGGGCTGAGAGCCCCACCTCCCCACCCCCCACCCCCGCAGTCAGCCTCCCTTGTCCAGCGAAGCAGGCCAAGGTCATGTTCGAGGTGGGCTGGACAGAGTAGATGCCATCAAGGTGGAGGCATGGCAGCAGGGCGGGGATCCAGGGCCTCTGACGCCAGGGCGGGCACCTCCCTGTCACACAGGAGCCAGCTAGGGAGGGAGCCAGCAAGGGAGGTCAGATTTCTTGTCTGCACGGGGAAGGGGAGGTTTTCCTGCCTCCAGGCACTTAGCAGGCGCTGGCTGGCCCTCCACTCAGGGTCAGGCTGGGGTAACAGAAGGGGCTGTCATAATCAGCAGGGGGGTCTGTCTCTCCTGAGACGGGGGCTGATAAGGCAGGCGCCCCGTTTGGGGGTGGAGAAACACATTCCTGGAGCTCAGGGTGGGGGCAGCCAGCTGGGCCAGACATCCAGGGAGCAACTGCTGGGTTCTACTGCAGACTTTCCTTTCTCAGAGCTTTGGGAGATCCTCAGATAGGGAAACTGAGGCCCAGTAGGAGGCAGAGCAGGGCCTGGGGTCCAATCCAGGCTTCTCCTGTCTAGTCTCCAGGCCTAGGACAGGCAAGTCTGGAGACACCAGGTCTACTTCTTCTCTGACCCTCTGGCACCTTTAGACAGTTATTTATGGAAAGGAGCCCTGGGTACCACATGTTCCCAGGGGCCTAGAGATGAAGGCAGGCAGTGTGCTGGATGCTAATTTAGCCGTCTGTGCTAAGCCTGCCGGCTGGGCCACCTTCTCTCTCCTGTGCTGAGGGCTGTGGCAGGAGGAGGCCTGTGTTTCCTTGCCAAGGTGACAACGGGCCGGCTCCCAAGCTGCCTCTCTGGCCTCGTGAACCTGCCTGCTCCTGCAGAACAAGGGGCCCCGGGATCCCCAGGTCTGGAGACACCCAGAGGACCCCTAAGTCCCCTGTCCAGGTTGTCCAGTGCCTACAGGCAGTACAGCACCCCCGAGTGCCCACCAAGCCTGCCTTCCTCCTCACTGGCCTCCCACACTAGGAGAGACCCTCGCCAGCCGGTGACTATCCAGAGACCTGGGCCACCGCTGCCCCACTCCCAGCCCCACATCGAAGCTGATGCTCCCATGGAACTCTCCAGGCCTTCCCCTCCCTTCCAACACACCTCATGGCCACCACCACCTCTCATTCGGGCCTCAGCCTCTCGCTTCTGGGACTGGCCCAGATCTCTGGCTCATTCATTCATTCATTTTCCTCCTATCAGCCTAGATGTTCTGTTAAAAGAGGAGAGCAAGCCCAGCCAGCATAGCTCAGTGGTTGAGCATTGACTTAGGAACCAGGAGGTCACGGTTCGATTCCTGGTCAGGGCACTTGCCTGGGTTGCGGGCTTGATCCCTAGTGGGGGAAGAGCAGGAGGCAGATGATTCTTTCTCATCACTGATGTTTCTATCTCTCTCTCTCCCTTCCTCTCTGAAATCAATAAAAATATATTTTTTTAAAATAAAATCGCCGCCAGAACCGGTTTGGCTCAGTGGATAGAGCGTCGACCTGCGGACTCAAGGGTCCCGGGTTTGACTCCAGTCAAGGGCATGTGCCTTGGTTGTGGGCACATCCCCAGTGGGGGGCGTGCAGGAGGCGGCTGATCGATGTTTCTCTCTCATTGATGTTTCTGGCTCTCTATCCCTCTCCCTTCCTCTCTGTAAAGGATCAATAAAATATATTTAAAAAAATAAAATAAAATAAAATCGCCCTAGCTGGTTTGGCTCAGTGGATAGAGCGTTGACCTGCAGTCTGAAGGGTCCTGGGTTCGATTCCGGTTAAGGGCACCTACCTCAGTTGAAGGCTCAAGCCTCAGCCCTGATTGGGGCGCGTGTGGAGGCAACCAATCAATGTGTCTCTCTCACATTGATGTTTCCCTCTCTGTGTCTCTCCTCCTCCCTTCCACTCTCTCTAGAAATCATTGGGAAAAATATACTCAGGTGAGGATGAACAAAAAATAAAATAAATAAATAACAATTAGGAAAAAAAAAAGAGAATAAACCTGATTTTTAAAAATAAAATAAATGAGAGGAGAGCAAGGGAGGGTGGTAGAAATGCCTCCTACTCCAGGAAGCCCTCCCTGAAAGGACCAGAGCCCATCTATCTTCTGTGAGGCCCACACACTTAATGTTTAAATGCCATGTATTCCAAAGGCAACACATGCGCGTGGTAACAAACCAGGAGAATCAGAAACCAGGTATTTTTGTGTCCATGTTGGAGGCAGCTACATTCTCCTTCTGACGACACATGGTACCCCTTGCTGGCCCTGAACATCATCCAGGGCCTTTCTTCAGGGGCCATGAGCTCTGTGCCCACTCCCTTCCAGCACATGGACCCCCAAACCCACGGTGGGTGGGCCTCTACTGCAGCTCAGCCAGCCCCTCCCGGGAGCAGCTGTGTGGCCGTTGGCCCTTCCTGTCTAGGCCATGGGATATTTTTAGCACCGAATCCGGAACCCACTCGGCAGCAGCTGCTTGTGGCCGAGTGCAAGAATAACAAACGATCCAGGTGGGCTGCGTCAGGCCTGCGCAGGCGACCTGGGTCTGGCCCTCAGCCTGGTAGCAAAATCTGGACTTGGCGGGAATCAGGGGGCCTCTGGGTGGTATGGGCAGGAAGGAGGCAGAGGCTGAGTAGGCGTTAGCCAGACCCACCAGGGGAACAGCATGTGCAAAGGTCCTGAGGTGGCATGGAAGGACGGGGAAGGCAGGGGCCATGAGAAGGAGCTGCGTGTGATGTGAGGCTGGAGAAGGCTGGGACCAGGCTGAACAGGGCCATGCAGGCTGTGGCCTCTTTCCCCAGGCACGTGACAGACAGGGAGTGAATGGGTCAAGGAGGTGAATCCACAGACCTTAGCACTTGGCAGAGAGAGGGCCGAGACGTGGGAGAGACCCGGTTTGGGAGGGAGACCACCCACTGGTTTGGGGCAGGCCCAGTCTGGGGTGCAGTGGGGACATGACTGCCTCAGGGGAGCGCTCCCTGGCCCCCCCAGTCCAGTCCCCCCAGCTCCTTGCCCCCTGTGGCTCTTGCCATGCCCGTAGAGGCTCTGTGCCATGTTCTTTCTATCCCTGGCTGCTCAGTGCTGGGCCCAGGCAAGCCGCAGACCTGGACTCCAGGGCTGGATCGGCAGCCTCAGGCGGGTGGTGGGCCCGGGCACTCCCCACACCCCTCCTCCAGTGCAAGGGGCCATTGGAAGAGTCCCTAGAGTTTCCTCCGGCTTAAAGGCTGTCCTCCACGGGGGGGACATTGGAGACTTCTGGGCAGGGGTCCTTCCTGTGACAGCCATGGCTGACCGGCCCCTCAAGGCCAGTCTCTGCTGTGAATGGGCGAAG